CTTAGAAACTCTATGCAGGGTCTCTATGAGTTGGGAAGGACTCCACAGCACACCACCACCACTACCATTACTAACAATATCACAAACAGAAGTGAAATTTTGCTGAAGATCATTGAAAAATGGCTGCAGCAGTACATAAACAGGGAGCTACCAGAAATTCAAGCCAGATTCAGTGAAGGATGTAGAAAGAGGAATAACATTGTTGCTATCAAATGGGCCATGTCTGAAAGCAGGGAACACCAGAAAGAATTTTGCTAATAGTTCATGGATTATGCAAAGGCATTCAACTGTGCAGATCATAACAAACTATGGATAACATTGCAAAGAATGGGCATTCCAGAACAGTTCGTTGTATTCCTGTGTCCTCACATAGACCAAGAGACAGTTCTTTGAACAGAACAAAAGGATGCTGAGTATTTGAAAATCAGGAAAGGTACGTGTTGGCTTGTATCCTTTCTCCATACTTATTCAATACATATGTTGTTTGTTAAGCGCCTTTGAGTCAGTTCCAACTCATAGCAAACCTGTATAGAGTTTCTGAGGAGCAACTGGTGAGTTTGAACCACCAAATTTAGGGTTCAAACTGATCTAGTGGTCAACTGCTTTATCCCACAGCACCACACCAGGACTCCATTCAATATGTACACTGAGCAAATTAATCTGAGAAGATGAACTGTAGGAAAAAGAAGGTGTCGTGACATCAGGATTGGAGGATACAAGTTTACTTGCTGAAAGGGAAGAGTGCTTGAAGCACTTGCTTGTGAAGATCAAAGACTACTGCCCTCCATACATTCAATGTAAAGAAAACAAAAATCCTCACAAATGAATCAATAAACAACATCAAGATAAATGGAGGAAAGATTGAAGTTGTGAAGGACTTCATTTTACTTGGAGACATAACCAACGCTCATGAAAACAACCATCAAGAAATCAAGCAACATCCAGTGAGTCCCTGGGTGTTGATCACGCTCGAATTGGGTTGTGTCCACCATCACATCTGTATTGGCCCCTATGGTTGCAGTTCCCATGGCCAGGGGGATGTTGGCCTGAGAGCCTAGTGAGGGGTTGGAGGAGGTCAGGTTTCTCTTCTTTGGACAGAGCAATTCTGTCCTGTCTGACATCAGAATGACAATGGAGGGTCAGGCTCGCTCCAGAGTCCATGATGTGACTCTGCTGGTTCTGGAGAAAAAAGGGTTTCCTATGCAGTCCTGAAGGAGCTCTGGTAGCGTAGTGGTTTCGAATTGGGCTGTGAATCTCAAGGTCAGCAGTTCGAAACTACCAGTAGTTCCATAGGAGAAAGATGAGGCTTTCTGCTCCTGTAAAGATTTACAGCCTCGGAAACCCTGTACAGGGTTCACTATGAGTTGGAACCAACCCTACGACACATAACCATCAACCATGAAGTCCTGGGGAAGAAAACCAGCAGCGGACATGAGGAAGATGGTTCTACAGAAACATTTCCCCTCTCCCTGATGCAGTCTTCAGTGTCTCTTGTCTACGGATCCTGGGCCCCTCCTACACCATCCTTCCTGTCTCCCGCCCTAAGTTATTGGTGAGCAAGGTCATGACTTCCTCACCTGAGATCAGGAGTTTCAGGGTGTCACTCGGGATGGACAGCACATGAGAATTGTTCCTGTAACAGCCATAGCATTTGAATGTCCACCTGTGGCCAGGGATCACAGGACCCACAGGGAACACAGCCTGGGAGAGCCCACTGGAGTGTTGTGAGAACAGGGTCCAGAAATGCTTGTGTTCCTCTTCTTCATATAGAACGAACATGTCATACTCCATCTGTGAGGCACACTCGAGAGTCACATTTCCTCCTGAGGACACCACAGGGCTCAGCAGGGCTACAACGGTTGGTTTGACGTAGGCTCCTAGGAGACAAGGATGTAGATGTGTTACATAGATTCTCACAGATCCTTATAGACCACGCACGGCTGGGCTGTAAGAAAGAAGACACCTGAGAGCAGGACTCCCACCCCTACCCCCGAGGGGCGTAGCCTGAGGCTGGGACTCCATGTTTCCTTTCACCTGTTGCCATCAGATCCAGGGGTTCACTGTATGCTGACCAACCAGAGCGACTAAAGTAGTAACAGTAATATCGCCCTGCATAGTCGGTTGTCATTTGTTCAATGAAGAAGTTGACCTTGTTCCTGGATTTCAGGGTGTTCACTTTCTCCCAGGGTACTGGGATTCCTTCTCTTTCCAAATAGTATTCCTCAGCCTTCACGGACCCTTGACACCAGATGGTCACAGGCGTCTTTAAGATGATCATAGCACCAGGCTCAGCCCAGATGGTGGGTTTGGGATTGGTCCCTGGAGAAGAATCAGAGTGGAATGTAACACAATTCGTTACTAACCTCAGTTCCCTCTCTATTGGCCCCAAGGTCCCTCCCTAGACTTATCATCATTATCTCAGAACCAGTATCCCAGAGACCTGTAAGGACTCACTTGCCTGTGCTTGGATCTCCTGGCCCAGACTGAGCCCTGGAAGAGAGAAACCCATGAGAAGTTTGTCCCTGATACCTGAGTACATCCTCCCCTCCCCTTTCCCCTTCTGATATCTTGTGTCAGATAAAGTCAGAGAGCCAGAGGGATCTACCAAATCAGCATTCCCCACTGTGCAGGGTCGCTATGAGTCAGAACCGATTCCACAGCACATAACAACAACAACCCCTTCTTAAGGAGCTCTGGCAGTGTGGTAGTTACGAACTGGGCTGTGACCCTTAAGGTCAGCAGTTCAAAACTACCAGCTGTGCTGCAGGAGAAAGACGAGGCTTTCTGCTCCTGTAAAGATTTACAGCCTTGGAAACCCTGTACAGCGTCACTATGAGTTGGAACCGACTCCACAGCACACAGCTACCACCACCACCCTTTCTTCGTCTTCTTCTTTTTAAATGTTTTATTGTGAATTATGTGATAGTTTACATGGGAGAACATTAGCTTTACATTCATCCTATCACATATCATTTCATTGCCATGGTTACAATTCCCTCCATGCATCATCAACCAACCAAAGGGTATACACTACAAGCCTGCCCCCCGGTTGTCAGCACACAGCCCCTCTCCCTATCTGGGTCCAAAGTCCCCAGCTGCTCCATCTCTCCACGTCATCGTCTCTGTCTCCATCTCAGGCATCGCTGATTCTCTGGGTAGGGTCCCACTCTCTGCTCTTCTCCCTTGATGGTTCCAGGGACCTCCGCTCCTAGACTGCAAAGTTTATCAATCCCCCTCTTGCTACAAAATGTCTACCTTTACATTTCCAACCCTCACAATCAGTCCTGATAGTAATTATTCACTATTGTACCACATGAGTGCTAGCCCCATCTCCTTTCATCAGCCCTGCTTAGACAGACTGGATACCACTCAGTAGAAATTCTACCTTCCTCCACACTCTTTGGATCTAGGTTCCCTCTTGAAAGCTTGTAAGCCAGTCACTTCTTGCCTTTGTAGCCCCCCTATTTTGGGTAGCCATGCTCCAGTTGCCCATCCCTGTCTACTCTGTATGTGGAGGGGGTGGGAATGATCCTTGCTGTAAAGATTTGTTCCCTCTTTTGAGCTACTGCACGTTGTAACCCTATTTTAGGTATTCCAATCAGTTATAGGCAGAAGACCGATTTACAAGCTTTCTATGGTGATATTTCTGGCTAGTCCTTTCTCTTCCCCTCCAGTGTCTATTTTATAATGTAATGCAAGGAAAGCCAAGATTCAAAAGACAGCCAAGCATCTTAGCATTATTCCCCTCACTCCCCCATTCCAACCATGTCTCAATCCCTGTATCCCAGAGCCCTGTTGTTTCAAGGTTGTGTCTACATCATTATATACCTCTGTCCCATTTAGCCCATGCAAACCTGCCTAATTGTTCTCCCGTCTGCTTTATTCTTCCATTCCCCTCTCCCTTCTTGTATATTGCCCCCATCCCCAGCATCCAAACTCTCCTGTGTCTATTCCCTGCCCTGTGCCCCACCTTCCCCTCCGTCCCCTCACCCCACCCCCTACACCACCCTTTCTTAAATCTCACCGAGGCATAGCAGGGCAGTGAGGATGGCAGTCATGGTGCCCGCCCTGACTGTGTTTTGTGAAGATGAATGAGATGACTCTCAGCAGTACACACAGGAATACAAGGTGTGGATGTGTAGAGGACGCAATTCTAATCCTGGTGTTGTCGAGCCAGCCTCCTCGCAACCACAGGAAGAGAAACGGCTCCTCCTCAGCAGCCTGGTTCTCAGTTCCCCAGGGCAAGGGTGAATAGGCTTTAGGTTCCAGGATATATTTCAGACAGAATGAGTTTTCTCCTGACCCTAGCTAACATCTCTCTGATCATCACCCATCTTGAAAGGGCTGGTACGTACTAGCAAATAGGTCCTGATGCTAACTCTGGATGAGTCCTTACCAGACTGAGCATGACCAAGGAGAGGTCAAGTCCTAAGCACATGAGCATCCACTGTGCTCCCTTAGATCGTCTGTCAACATTGGGCCCTTACCATCAGTGATTGTCATGCCAGGGGAACACAGATTCATAGTCTACCACATGAGCTGAAATTCACAAAGACAAACGCTCAACAAGTAACTAGATAGTTCAAGCCTAGTTTCACTGTGGGTGTGAGTACAAAAAGAAATTCAGGAAAATGTGGGAAGAATGCATAATTCTTTCTCCCACCTCATACTGAAAGGCTCTTCTTCCTACCCCCTCATAAACAGATTTCATCACTGACTTTCTTACCCACATTATCTTTAACCCATGTTCCTGGGAACAAACTCTGCATCCTTGGACAGAATTTTCTACCCAGGCTGTTGTTCTGTCTTTGAATTTTAGCAAACAGTGAGTTTGTCTACAGCCCAATTTGAGGGCAAAATACCATTTTCACTTAATCTTGGGTCTATTATCCCCTTTCTGTGTGATAGTGAGCAGCAACATCCCCTCTCTGAAACTTGTTTTCTTTGTGGAGTGTGTTGTCATGAAACTCAGTCCTCAGAATGGTTATGAATGTCAGTGATACCTGGACATGGATGAGTACAATTCTTGTTCATTCCCAGAGCAGTTTACCACATGAGGGATAGGGACCCAAAGGATTGTGATATCGGGCTTCACAGTCAGATGGAGATGGGTGTGTGCGGTGCAGTGGATGATGCCTACTATTGTCCTTGTGGTGCCCACAAAAAACGCTGTTTCCTCATGGGCCTGGTCAAGAAAATATGGAGGAGGCTGCTAATAGGAATATATGGTACTGTCGTAAGTGATTGTTAACAAGGTTAATTGCAACTGTTAAAAACTTGGAACTCAAACGTAGCTTTAAAATGAGTCATCTCAGAAGCAGGAATGGAAGATCTCACTACCATCAAAGAAAAACAATCAAAGTGGAGCACGTCCTTTGGACACTGAGATCCCTGCCCATTGAATCTTCTCGACCCACGGACAGAAAGCTATGACACCTGAGGAGGGGCAAAGCAGAAGCAGCAGAACCAAGAGCCAGAGCACCGGACAGAGCAAGGGGCTTCCCAGTCCAGGAGTAAGGAAAGCTGGGTGACTTTGGGCAGGAGGCGTGCCAGCAGAGTGGGGAGCCTCAAGGCACTTAATTGGGGGAACTAGATTTCCTGACCCATGAAGATACAGTCAAGTGGCTTTGTTGTTGTTGTTAAGTGTTGTCAAGTCATCTCTCTTTGGAATGGATACAAATATGGATCTTGGAACTTCCAATCAGATGGTCAGGTCACTGTCTTCCAAATTTCTTGTCATAGATGGGTGAGTGCCGGTTGAAAGAGTTCAATTTGTATTCCGTTAATTCCTGGAGCCTGGTTCTTTGCCAATGCCTTCAGTGCAGCCTGGACTTCTTCCTTCAGTATAGTTGATTCTTAATCATATACTATCTCTTGAAATGATTGAACATCGACCATTTATATTTATATATATTGACTCAATGTATATCTTCCATCTTAGGTACACTAGAGTTTTTTTTGTTTTGTTTTGTTTTGTTTTAAAGAATTTGATGGTCTATATACAGAGCTCCGTATTTGTGCCCATTTCAAAGAAAGGTGACCCAATGGAATGTGGAAATCATCTAACAATATCTTTGATATCTCATATGAATGAAGTTTTACTAACGGTAATACAGAAATGGCTGCAAGCATACATTAACAAAGAACTTCCAGAGGTTCAAGCTGGATTCAGAAGAGGCTGTAGAACAAGGGATATCATTGCTGATGTCCGATGGATCTTGGCTGAAAACAGAGAATATCAGAAAGATGTTTACCTGTGCTTTATTGATTATGCAAAGGCTTTCAATTGTGTGGATCATGACAAGATATGGAAAACATTGTAAAGTACAAGTATTCCGTAATACTTAATTGTGCTCATGAGGAATCTGTATGTGGACCAAGAGGCAGTTGTTTGAACAGATCATGGGAACACTGAATGGTTTAAAATTAAGAAAAGTGAGCGACAAGATTGTGTTCTTTCACCATACTTATTCAACCTGTATGCTGAGCAAATAATCCAAGAAGCTGGGTTCTATGAAGAAAAACGTGGCATCAGGATTGGAGGAAGACTCATTAACAACCTGTGATATGCAGATGATACAACCTTGCTAGCTGAAAGTGAAGACTTAAAATATTTACTGATGAACATCAAAGAGCACAGCCTTTGGTATGGATTGTAGCTCAATGTAAAGAAAACAAAAATCCTCACTACTATACCAATAAACAACATTCTTATCAACGGAGGAAAGGTTGAAGTTGTCAAGGACTTCATTCTTCTTGGATCAACTATCAACACTCAGGGAAGCGCAGTCAATAAATCAAATGACGTATTGCATTAGGCAAATCTGCTGCACAAGACCTTTTTAAAGTGTTGAAGAGCAAAGATGTCAGCTTGAGGACTAAGGTACGCCTGACCCAAGCCATAGTATTTTCAATAACTTCATATGCATGCAAAAGCTAGACAGTGAATAAGGAAGACCGTAGAAGAATTGATGCTTTTGAGTTATGGTGTTGGAGGAGAATATTGAAAGTGACATGTGTTACCAAAAGAACCAACAGATCTGTGTTGGAAGAAGTATAGCCAGAGTGCTCCTTCGAGGCCGGGATGGCAAATTTCATCTCTCATACTTTGGACATATTGTCAGGAGGGAGCAGTCACTGGAGAAGGATAACATGTTTGGTAAGGTGGAGGGTCAGAGAAATAGAGGAAGACCCCCAACGAGATGGACTGGCAAAGTGGCAGCATCAATGGGCTCAAGCGTGGCAACAATTGTGAGGTTGGCCCAGGATCAGACAGTGATTCATTCTGCTGTGCACAAAGTCGCTATGAGTCGGTGCCAACTCAATGGCATCTAACAACAAAAAATATCAATAATGGAAAGTTTCCTCCAAAGACATTGAGTAAATATCTGGTTGAAATTATAGAGTTTTGATGTGTTATTATTATTTTTTTTAATATGAAGAACTTGTGATTATGAACTTTGCTTGAAAACACATGAAGATGTTTGTGGGTTTCTTGCCAAGAAGATAGTGTAACAATGTTTATGCAACTTTGAGAAACAAAAAAATATTGAGAGAACTATTTTTAATCCAACACTATTTTTATTTAACATAAATTGGGTATCAACTATTCTCTGGCCCCATAAGAACAAACTGCAGTGTAATAAGTAGAAAAGAAGTCAAAGTCTACAAAGAAAGTATAAAAATGGTAACTTGAATACTGCCAATAACAACAGTTGACTCTTGGAAGGTGAGGGTCAAATGTCTTGTAAATTACACAAGATTTAATGAAATTGTTAGCGTTTCATTTTAATCCTTTATTTAAGGAGTCTAATTAATTGCATTTCTCTCTAGAAATGAAGAGTGTTGTTGTAGAATGTAGAATTGGGAACTCCTCACCCCTTTCCAAACACTCAGCTTGCCCTTTCTTTCTCTGAGTTAACTGAAACATGCTCTGTAAACTTGCGCTAAAAAAAGGTCCTAATGTGACCTATTTCATTTCTTTTCCTATTTTCACTGCCCCAAACCAGATGGTGAATGAGCCTGCGAGTTTTCAGTTAATGAGGAAAAGTGTGACAAGCCTGCTATGTGAGGTGGCAGAACTGCATTTCCAATCCTAGATGAGATTACCTTTCAAGTCCTTACGGCTCTAAAACATGGTGGATCCTTCTACCAAACTGGTGCTCCTGGAAATCGGGGCAGAAAGCCCTTGTGTGTACTTGCCCTACCCTTCCTTTTCTCCTCCCACAGAAGGTCCACAGATGCTTGTAGAGGCAGCAAACATTCACAATGATCTGAAACCATAGGGCAGGTGCATACTGACACCTCCAGGAAGTCGTAGGCACAGAACTTCTCAACCAGTTGGGCCCACTGAAATCCAGGCTAAGATTCTACCCTTTGAAAGATGGAAACATATGAAGTGCCAGAGCTGGACAAAATTGTGCCATGGTGCCAATCCCAAGAGCAAAGGAGTCAACTCTACCATAGACTACAACTCCCACTGACTCTTCCAATCATCATGACCTCTTAAAATAAAAATCCCCCCCTACTCTTCATAAGGAGCTCTGGTGGTGCTATGGGTTAGGCATTGGGCTAACCACAAAGTCTGTGGTTCAAACCCACCAGCTACTCCATGAGAAAAAGATGAGGCTGTCTACTCCCGCAATTATTAAATTCATGTAAATATTGAGTCGTTATACGTCAGAATCTATTTGACGGTTGTGGGTTTTTACTCTTCATATTCTGAATCTCATTCCATGAATGGTTGGGGATAAACTTTAGGGAACCTTAAGAATCAGGAACATGGAGAGATAAAAGGGATTGGAACTGATCTCTCTTCACCTCAATTCACAAGGGGACCACTGTACACCAGGGCCTAGGATAGAGACCAGAATGTGGGGTGGTTCTTTTCCTGCCACCTCAGCTGGGCCTAGTCTCCTTTAGACATTCCCCACCAACACTGACCACCCAATATACCTCAGTGATCCCAGTGAGTCCTTCCCTTAACCTCCAATTTCCTCCCCAACATCTAGTGGGAAATCCTCTTCTGTAGCAATTTGAAGAGGATACGCATAAGATGAGGTGCTCATCCCAGTCCTGGGAAGACTGCAACACCTCCGGACTAAGAGAACTTCATAACTCAATGACCATGAAGCTCTTTCATATGCATGAGGACCTGGAGAGCCCAGATTCTGTTTAGAACATGGACCAGAGGAGGAAGAGGGGTTGGAACAGCCTCTCCAGTCTTCTAACATAGAAATCTCTAAGAACCAAGGGTATAAATAAGGGTTGGAAAGAATATGTGCATCCCTTGATTTCTTTCCATCATTTTATGGGGCAGAGGTCCTCTCTGACTGACCCTCTATCTTTCTTCCTAGCCGGTACAGAGTTATCCTGGGACAGGGTTGTGAGCTTACCATCTGATCTCTGAATAGACACAGGGTGGGAAATCCTTACCTGAGTCCACCACCTGCAGTGTGTCAATGGAATGTGACAACAAGAATACAAAGATGCCATTTAATCCTTAGAAAATCTATAGGTGTCCCCATACACAGAAGTCACAAGACTCGGAGAAAACCAAGTCAGAAGTCCAGTCATGTAACATGACTTGAGATGCATGAGATAACCAAATGGAATGTGATAAACAAGCTCTCAGTGATACCACAAGGCGACATCCTCTGCAAAGATCACTGAAGGGTCCCCCATGAAGACAAAGAAACAGTGGCATCAAAGAGGACACACATACTCATACTGTCCGTGGAGGCTGCACTGAGTCCATGTTGGTCTCCTCCCAGGACCCTTCTCTGATTCTAGCCCAGGAAGCCATTGCCACCAATTGCCTATCACCACCTTAGACACAGATCACTTTGGGACCCTGGGGGAAAATCAGGCTGGATGGCTTCCTTACCTGTGACCTCAAGATCCAGAGGGTCACTAGGGAGTGACCATACATGGGGAGAAGTGCTGGAAAAACCACAGCATCTATAGATGCTTCTATGAGAGGTGTTCACTGGGCCCAAAGGAAAGAGGGCCTTGTTCCTCCCAGCAGACAATTGGGATTTCATGTGTAGGGGCAGGCTGGTTTCTTCCTCCTTCAGCAGATGGAAAGTGTCCAATGTGAACTCTGAGCTATAAGAGAAAGACATTTTCCCTCCGGAAGCGATCACATGGCTTGGATGAGCTGAGAGGGATGGTTTGCTGCACGTTCCTGAGAAAGAAGGAGAGAGCTAAGTTAAAGGGAGGTTGCTGTCACCCTGCACTACCCTCCTGGTGTGGTCAGGGTGGTGTGGGCTTCCCTTAAGGTCACCTGTTCTCCCTTCTGCCTGTGAGGAGGAGCTCAAAGTGGGTTGGCCCCAGGATCCTCCCTCTTACCTGTTACCACAAGGTTCAGGGGATCACTCCACTCTGACCAGCCATTTATGCTGTGTTATATACACAAGAACCTTCCAGTTGAGTTCAAGTCAATGGAGAAATTGATCTTGTCCCTGGAGTCCAGTGAGGTTTCCATTATCCAGGTTTGAGAGATTCCCTCTTTATCAAAATTGTAGCCATCAACATGCAGAGACCCCTGACACCAAATGGTCACAGAGCTCCGCATGGCGGCCATGGGCCTGGGTCAGCCCAGATGGAAGGTTTGGAGAGAGTTTCTGGAAAGGAATCAGATCTGGAGTTCCAAGGGGTTTCTCTGTCCCCTCATTTTACACAGCTTTCACTCAAAGTCCCCTATGAGACTAAACCGTCTGTAGGTATCCCCATACACAGACGTCCCTTCAAGCCGCCCAGGGTAGCTCATTGTGCTGAAGCAAAATGTGAAAGGTGTGTATCTGGGGGAAGAGTTACCCACCTGTGCCTGGTTCCACTGGTCCGGACACAACCCTGAGAAAGAGTCCCCTGTTAGAAGATCGTCACACCCACCTACACAATGGGTCTTGTTCCTCCCACGAACTCATAGTTCCATCAGTGATCAGTGTCCCTGAGGCCTCAAGTCAGATAGGGAGCTGCTAAGACTTTCTCTTCCCCTGGAAGTTCAGCCTTTCACTCCCGGGGGTCTCTCCAAGGGATCAGGACCTGCGAGGAAAACCTCACCCCTCCCCATTTCCCAAAGCTCACCGAGACAGAGAAGAAGAGTGAGAGTTGGGGCCACAGCATTGCCTTCCATGGGCTCCATCAGGGCTGACCTATTGTAGTGACCACAGAGCCCAGTAAAACAGACCTAAGGAGTGTGACATATTTTAGGTTCTCCGTTATGAGTCACAGACTCTCATCAGCAGTGGCCCCACAGGAAGGTGAACCATGCCCCCACTCCAGGACATGGCTTTGTCTTTCCCGATGTTTGGAGTTGAGACATTAGAAAGTTCTTGAAACCTTTCAGACCAGGTCTGGGTCACATTTGACCCTTACACACTGTCAGTCCAGTCTGCCTCTGCCTCATACTAATCCAAACCCAGAGATCCTTTCGTCCCAGAACATGAGGCTGGAAGGGACAGGGCTCACAGCCCAGTCCAAGTTCATGCCCAGTTCTGAATCTGCTCTTTATACACCTGGAGTGACTTGGTTGCTTTTTTGAGCCTACATATATGCAAATTTTCTTCCTTTCGTCCATCAGCCAAGCAATCAACACATGTGAAGGAGCAAGTAGCTAGATTCCTTCCTGGACTCATAGAGTTCAGGTTGTTGTTGTTAAGTGCTGTCAAGTTGATTCTGACCCATAGCAACCCTGTATAAGGTTTCCAAGGAGCAGCTGGTGAGCTTGAACCACTGACTTTATAGTTCATATGACTTTGCCGTGTGACGCATTAATCCACAGCGCCACACCAAGACTCCGGAGCTCAGATTAGCAGAAGACAATATCTAAACCATGGACAATTCAGATACAATTTTGGCAAGCTATAGAAAATGAGATTAACAGAGGACAAAGACACTCAATAATAGGTGGACAACATGCAAGTGGGCCATGGAAATGAGAGGGACCCTTAGAACGAAGGAGCAATTACAGCATTCCTAGGGATTAGCAGAAAGTAGAAAGATATACAGCCTTGGAAACCCCATACAGGACGCTATGAGTCAGAACCAACTCCACAGCACGCCACCACCAGTGAGAGGAGGGCATCCTCCATCAGAAAGAAGTTGATTGGGACCTGGTCACATGGGGTCTTGATCATTATCCAAGTGACTTGGATTTTATGTTTATGAGAACAGGAAGATTTTAAGGAAGGGAAACCATGAACAAATTTCTGTCTTAGAAACCCACTGCTATGTAGGGAATGGGAACTTCCGGCTGGCAGAAATGGTCAGATGCTCGACTACTAATCAAAAGGTTGGCAGTTCGAGTCATCCAGAGATGTCTTGGAAGTCAGACCTAGAGATCTACTTCCGGAAGATCGGTCTTGAAAACCTTATAGGGCAGTTTTCCTCTGTACACATGAGAATGCCACAAGTCAGAATCGACTCGACAGAAACTGCTAACAACAGAGAAAGATTTGTAGACGGAATCTATAACAAACAATAATAGAATTCCTGCATTCATCTTACCCCTAGATAATGTGTCAGGTTTCAACTTCTGACTCTTAGTGACCTTATACGCACAATGAAATGAAACACACTTCTTAGTCTCACGTTACCCTTACATTGCTGTTGTGTTTGAGATCATCACTGATGACAATTGAAGTCAATCCATCATGTTGGACGCAAGCCATGCTATTTTCAATCACCTCATATGCATGCAAAAGTTGCACAGTGAATAAGGAAGTCCGTAGAAGGATTGATGCATTTGAGTTATGAGGATGGAGGAGAATATTGAAAGTACCATGGGCTGCCAAAAGAACAAACCAACTGTGTTGGAAGAAGTACAGCCAGGGTGCTCCTTGGAAGCCAGAATGGCCAGACTTAGTCTTGCATACTTTGAACATGTTATCAGGAGGGACCACTCCCTGGAGAAGGATATCATGTTTGGTAAAGTGGAGGGTCAGAGAAAAAGAGGAAGACCCCAACGAGATAGATTGGCACAGTGACAGCATCAGTAGGCTCAAGCATAGCAGCAGTTGTGAAGTTGGCCTAGGACCAGGCAGTGTTTCGTTTTGTTGTTCATAGGGTTGCTAGGCATCGGTACCTACTCAATGGCATCTAAGAACAAAGAACAGCATCATGTTGGGGATCTTCCTCTTTTTTACTGACCCTTCACTTTACCAAACATAATGTCCTTTTTCAGACACCACGTCCTTGTCACAAAACCTTACCATCTTTGCTGTCAAGGAACAATCTGGCTGCATTTCTAAAACAGATTTGTTCATTTTTCTGGCAGTCTGTGGTACTTTCAGTATTCTTCACCAACACCTTAATGCAAATGTACCAAATCTTCTCCAGTCTTGCTTATTCAGTGTCCAGCTCTGGCATGGTCAGGCACACCTTAGTCCTCAAAGTGACATTTTTACTCTTTAACAATTTTAAGGATTATTTTGCAGCAGATTAACATAATACAACACATCCTTTGATTTCCTGACTGCTGCTTTCATGAGCATTTGTGGAACGAGGTAAAGTTTAAGTAACCTCTTCTAGGTTGATGTTGTTAAGTGCCGTCGAGTCAGTTCTGACCCATAGCGACCCTGTATAGAATTTCCGAGGAACAGCTAGTGAATTTGAACCACCGACCTTGCAGTTCAAACCGACTTTGCAGTCTAGCACAATAACCCACAGCGCTACACTGGGACTCTAACCTATTCTAGGTAGGTTATGTGAATTTCTCACATAATTCTTCCACAGACCTAGTGACACAAATACATTTCAGTTGAGTGAATGTGCCAGGAAGAGTTCTTTGTTTTTATCTTTGCCTGGTAGCTTGGAAAGGAGCTTGCCATATTCAATTTGGTTGAGGAAGCAGCCCATAAAAATGTACCAAAGTGTTAACGAGCTTAGTTTTTCAGACTCTCTCTGTCTCTTTGTCTCTCACGCTCACGTTGTGAGTGTGTGTGCGTTCTGGGGCTAACTGAGTTTGGGTAGGGAAGTGGGGACAGTGTTTCTTGGGACTAGAAAATTTAGCTCTGGTCATCAACAGCCTTGAATGTCAGTAAGAGGAACTTGGATCTTCTTTTGGATAAATTTGGAGCCCGTGGGAAGATATTGAGCAAGGGAGGGTCAAGGGCAGAGATAAAGAGATGAATGAATCACAATAGAAAGAGAACGAGCCATCCTGAAGTAAAGTGACCGAAAGGAAGTTAAATAGATGTGACAGACAAGCCTTATAGAGTCTCATGATGAACAGAAGGCACAGAGATGCATTGGAATGAGGACGTAGAAGTGTTCAGGTTTGATGACTGGGTAGGAAGCAGTAGAGTGAAAAATTGAGGACTATCCCACTCTCGGACTTGGTTGATTAGAGGAGCTAATGAGGCCATCAAAGGGAGGATGACTCTGAGCAGAGAGGCCGGTATAGGGAGATGTTTATAAGACTGTTAGAATGCACAGCTCTTCCTCATTGTCTGGGATTCTGAGTTTCATTTCCTTTAAACACTTCCTCTCCCTGACTTCCCTGTTTCTATAAATAGCACCATATTTCTTTTCATCTTCCTTGGAGTTTTCTGAGTCACTGCTCCTCAGTGCCCTTCCTTCCCTTCCTCCCAGAATCTACTCGATGGTACCTAACAACAACATTCAAATGAGTCATTTCCAAGTAAGAATTTTCTGGTCACCCCCATTATTATATAAAAACCAGGATGAAATGATTAAATGTTCAACTGTTAACTGAAAGTCTATTGAACTTCAGTTAACAGTGCAACATTTAACCAAAACTTCCATCAGCTGCTTCATGAAAGAAAAGGTATAGTGATTTGTTCCTGTCAAGATTCTAGTCTTGGAAACTCTAAGGGGCAGTTCTACTGTGTCCTACAGGGTTACACCAAGCCAGAGCTGATTAGGTGACAATGGTTTGGTTCTGGCTAAGTGTTAAGACAAACTCACCAGGGAAACTTGCTGGTCCCAAATTTTATTTTGTGATATAATCTTAACTTTCAGATATAACATATTTAGTAGATAGAAGATCGTTCACATTTAATAGAGAGAAGATGGTTCACATTTCTTCTTCTTTTTTTAATGCTTTTATTGTGAATCGAGTGTTTACATGGGCGAACATCTGTTTTGGATGATTACAATCTTTTCCATGCATGATCGGTTAACAGTATTTGCCTCTATCTCCCATCTTTTCAAAAAAAATTATTATCACACAAAAACACGCAGGGATCTATAATCATTTAAACAACCAAAGGGCACATTTTGCTCACTTTTGTTCTTGCAATTATTTTCGGTATAGTGCATTTTGGAAGTATTTCTCCATTTCATCTAAATTGCAAAAAAAGTTGTTCATAATGTCTACTTCTTTTCTATTAAAGTCTGAAGGGTCTGTCAAGATGCCTAGGTCATGTCTGAGGTTAGCGATTCATAGCTGGTCTCTTCTTTTCAGTGCCACTAGGGCTTCGGACAGTCTTAAGAATATTAAAGCAAAACTTTCGGAATTTTATTGTCTTTTCTGTCTTTGATGTTTTCCTTCTCAATCAGAGCCCTTATTGCTACTGTACCCTGTTTTGTACTTTTTTGGAATTAATTTGCTTCTCTTTTTCTAACGTCGTATGTTGATAGCTTCTTCTTGCTGTTAATTGCCCTTCAGTTCATCTTGACTCTAAGACAACATTTTCAGACTTTCTTCTTTTTCTAGTGTCTTCATTTTAATACTAAGCTTCTCCATTTCTTAGGTCTTGGTGCATAAAACCAGTATTACCATCAGAGTAAAAATAAATTACTTTATTTGTGGGTTTTTTTATTCAAGTGTTGGTTGTTCAGAAGTGTCTAGCTGTATTTCCAAAAATATAGGAAGGTTATATTTATCTTTGTTTGCAGAATTAGGTGACTCAAAAGTCCCAGAATCCACTGCTTGCTTAGAAAATGTCCCCTGACTGACAAGCCTTAGTTAAGTATTGGCTGGGCCCCCTCAGTGCCTTCTGCAGAGCCTGCAATCTCCCTCCTTGGAATGTGGGGTTTGAGTTATCTCTGGCCTAATAGGAATTCAGAACAGCATACGTGACGGGCTTAGCTGGGGGCTCTCGTAACTGCGAAGAAGGAGATGTGGTTGTCTCTTGTTTTGGAAGGAGTCTGCACACCTGGGCATAGACCACAGCCTGGAGCAGAGAGAAAATGAGAAAGCAGGGCTGAAGTTAGGGTCAGGGAAAGTTTGGGGACTGCAGAGAAAAGGATGCCCCTAATTGTCCATCTGTCTGTTTTCCTTCAGGTCCAGAAAGTCCCTTGACGAAGAAGAAGGAAATGTGGCTACACCACACCTAAATCTTGAGTGGTCTTCCTGGATGTGTGTTGCAGCCTGTGACTCCAAACCAAGCCCATTGTCGCTGAGTCCATTCCAATTCACAGTGGCCCATTAAGGCAGAGGAGAACGGCCCTGTAGGGTTCCCAAGGCTGTAGTCTTAGCAGACTGTTACATCTTACTCCCACTTAGGCCCATACAGTTGCTATTGTTGTTAAATGCTGTCGAGTCGGTTCCAACTCATAGCCACCCTGTATAGGATTTCCGAGGAGCAGGCTGGTGAGCTTGAACTGCCAACCTTGCAGTTCCAACTGACCTTGCAGTCCAGGGCATTAACCCATAGCACCACACATAAACTTAGCCTGCTTCCTCCCTTTCTCACCACAGCCACTAACATCTTTGCTCACTTGTCTCCAGTCACACCCTCCCTGTAGTTGTTAAGTGTCACCAAGTCGGTTCTGACTCAGAGTGACCCTGTATAGACTTTCTGAAACTGCCAGTTTTTGGAGAATCAGAAAGCTGTATCTTCCTCCCGAGAAGCAGCTGGTGGGCTCAAACCATCGACCTTGTGGTTAGCAGTCCGGTGCTTATCCTACAGAGCCACATCTTCCATATTGCTACCTAAATGTGTTTCTGCCTCATAACCTTTGCAGTTGCTGTTCCCACTGCCTGGACTCACTCAGTCCTGGTTGATTTTTCATTTGTGTCTCAGGAAGTTCTATCCCCTTATCTTGCTTTATTTTCCTTAATAGCCCTTTGTCTTGTTTACAAAGGGTATGTTGTTGTTGTTGTTAAGTGCCATTGAGTTGGTATATGGTTTCCAAGGAGCAGCTGGTGAGCTTGAACTGCCGACTTTGCAGTTCAAACCAACTTTGTAGTCCAGTGCATGAACCCACAGCGTCATACCCAGACTCCTGTTTACAGTGTGTATTTATTTGTTTTTATTATATATGCAATTTAATTCATGGTTATAGCTCCAGGACTAAAACAAAGTCTGGCAAATTGTAGATTCCCAATAAATACTTGTTGAATTGCAGATTGACAGGTTGAAGTAACAGGGGAAGACTAGGCATCTTGAAAGACATTCATTTATTATTACTATTATCAATTCTCTCTCTCTTCTGCACACACACACACACACACACACATACCTTTTTAAAGGCTTAGTATTTGGCACTGTAGGATAAAGCACTGGACCACAAGGTCAGTTTTGAATCACAGGATCAGCAGTTCAAACTCACCAGCTACTCCTTGGAAACTCTATACAGGGTCACTATGAGTCGAAACCAACTCACCAGCAGTTTACAACAACAACGGTTTTTAACCCATAAAACCATTGGTGGCACAATGGTAAATTGCTTGACTGGTAAATGGAAGGTTAGTGGGTCAAACCAACCAGCTGGTGCACAGGAGAAAGATGTGGCTATCTGCTGTCTGCCTCTGTAAAGACTGACAGCCTTGGAGACCTGGGGGCGGGTCTACTCTGTCCCATAGCGATGCTACAGTCAGAATGGACTCAAAGACAGTGGGGAGCATTTGCAAGGAGGTGAGGTTCCTGCCCTTCAGGAATGCATTGTCACTAAATTGAGAAGCATAAAAAATGGAAACAAAACTACTGCGGCAGGTTTTAAGTGTTATGTAGACAATATAGCAGCGATGTGATAAAGTGTTAACAAAATAAAGTGAGTATGAGGATGACTTAGGTCACTCCTCAACCTGGGAGCTGCTGACATTTTGACCCAGGGGAAGTGGCTGTAGAATCAACACAGGACTTGTAACCACAAGGTCAGCATCAAACCCACCAGATGCCCCTCGGAATCCTAAACAGGGTCGTTATGAGTAGGAATCAACGTGATGATACTGAACACCAATGATGATGTTTTATTCTGTGCATTGTAAGATGTCTAGTGGCATCCTTGACCTCTAGCAAACTTTTGAGCTGTAACAACAAAACAGGTCTCTAGACATTGTCAAATGTCCCCCGAAGAAATGAGATGATAAAATGCCTCCTGACTGAGTACCACTGACATGGGGAAAAGGGAAGAACTGAGAAAGACTTGTGGGTTTTGTTTGAGGAAGAAACAACACTGGAGGGGATTGAGGTTGGGCATGTGGTGTTGAGCCTGTTAGAAGGACAAGTAAAACGGTTCACAGAAAGTTGAATTTGAGACTAGTGCTCTAGTCAGAGATGAAATATGGAATCACAATCACATAAACAGTCCAGCAAATCCCTCCTACGTTACTATTTGTGAGATTAAAGACGTTTGTTACCCACACAATAAAAATTCTGACATGGTGAGGTCAACAAAGTGGCTGGAGAGGACTTACACTGGATGAAGGAGTCCGTCATAAATTGTTGCATCCGAGGCACATAATTGTCAAGTTCTACCGAATTTATATTAATGAGGTAGAGGAGAGAAAGTCAACTGAGAAAAGGAAACCCAGAGGGTTCCAGTGCAGGGTTGGATTCGTCTGTTGGGTGTCTTTGTGTGAAGAAGATAAAGCCATGTCAGTCAGAGCTCTCCAGTACCCTTGTGTTTTAGGCACTGCACAAGCTCTCTAGTCACATCTGGAATCCCATCCAGACTGAGACCAGAGGTACAACAACAACTTAAAGCTTCCTTAAAGGGAATCAAGAAGAAGTCCACACATGATCAGGGAGAGCTGCCGAGAGTGACATCACAGTAATCAAGTGGGCAGAGTATTTTCAGAGGAAGAGAGAGGTCAGATGATGCAGGGAGTTGAATAATATGAACACAGAGACACTTCTGATGAATTTGAGTTATTAACAAGATTGCAGTGGGTTTCTAGGACAGAAGCAGGGGTGCTCACCTGATTGTCCAGCTGTTCAACTGCCCTAGAATGGAAGTCTGTCACATTAGCATCTGGAGACAGAAAACAAACAGGTCCTACATCTTAGCAAGATTCCTAAAAACCTACAGTCCTGCACAGCCCACCCATTCTTCAATGGGGGAGACTGAGGTAGTGCTGTGTCTAGGATCACACAGTTATGTTTTTTTACGCAACCCCATTCTCTAAGCCCAGAACCCTTGCAATGAATCCCCTTTGTCCTGTTTCACCCATGAAGATGCCTCCTCTCACTCTTACATGGATTCTCCATTTGGATTTCAGCAGCAGCATTTGAGCTGAGAGAGAGGAAAACAAGAGTGTTGAGCAGTGGAGAGGGACCTTCAGCAGAGGTAGAGGGTGGGGGTGGGAAGGTCTTTGTTAAGGGCATACCTTCTTTGTAGGACTCTGCTCTTAACATCTGGATTTGCAACACCTGTAAAAAGTGAGAAATTGGCCTCTCAATGCCTCCAAACTACTACCAAGGAATGCATTAAGATTCATAGAGGGTCTAGTCCTGAGTAATTTATATACATTTCCTGTCCATGTGAAATTCAAGAGATACAAGACTAAACCATAACTCATATAACTTGCATGCATAGTTTAACTATTTTTCTTAAACAGAATGAACTTTTTTTTAAAAAAAAGTCTGTGTCTATGGAAGATGTGCTCCGGAATATGTCACTGTATGTTAGCTCACAGAGCAAGCCTCAATAAAATTTAAAACATCTAAATGCTACAAAGTATCTTCTGAGATCACAACACTATAAACCTAGAAATCAACAATAGGAAGATACGAGAGCAGGGAAATGAAATACAAAGAAGTTGAACAGCACTTTGCTTAAAAGCTACTAATGAAAGAAATCAAAGAAACCAAACTGATAAAAGAAATACAAAAATGAAATTTAAAAAAAATCCTGGAATCAAATGAGAATGAAACACAACATATCAAAGCCTATAAGACACAGCAAAAGCAGGGTTCAGAGGACAATTCATAGCCATAAAGGCACACATCCAAAAAAAAGAAAGAAAGAACCAAGACCAACACAGTAACCCAACATCTCGAACCATTAGGAAAAGAGCAGCAAAGTAAGCCTACTGCCACTCAAAGAAAATAAATAATAAAGATTAGGGCAAAAGTAAATAAAACAAAAACAATAGAAGAAATCAATGAGAAAAGAAGTTGGGTCTTTGAAGGGATGGCTAAAATTGACAAACCACTGGTAAATCTAACAAAAGAAAAGGAGAAGATTCAAACAACATGAACAAAAAATATATGGGTGATGTCACACCAGAACCAATGGAAATAAAAAGGATAATGACAATACTCTGGAGAATTATACTCCAACAAATTTGACAAAATGGGCAAATTTCTAGAAAAGCACTATGGCCTACACTAACACAGACTGAAGTAGAAAACTCGAGCAGATCTGTAACAGAAGAATAAATTGATACTCTCATTTAAAAATGCCCAACCAAAAAAGGATATGCATTGGATCGCAAGGTTGATTTGAGCCACAAGGTCAATGGTTCAAACTCACCAGCCACTCCTCAGAAACCTATACAGGGTCACTAGTTGTTGGGACCAACTCAACGCTACTTAACAACACTAACAACAACAAAACAAAAGTAGTCTGGGCCCAGATGAAATCACTGGTGAATTCTATCAAATATTCAGAGATCTACACCAAATCTACTTAAACTATCACAGAACATAGAAAAAAATAGGAACTTTCTGAATACATTATGAAGTGAGCCTAAGCCTCATATAAAAACTAGGCGAAGACATGGCTAAAAGGGAAAATTATAGACCAATATCCCTCACGGACATGATGGTGGTGGTGGTGGTGTGCCGTGGAGTCGGTTCTGACTCACAACGACCCTGCATAATTTCCAAGGCTGTAAATCTCTATGGGAGCTGAAAGCCTCATCTTTCTCCCTTGGAACGGCTGGTAGTTTCAAATGGCTGACCTTGTGGTTATCAGCCTGACTTATAAGCACTATGCTACCAGAATCCTTCATGAACATAGATACAAAAAAATCTCAACAAAATCCTAGTCAATTAAATTAACAACATATCAAAAAACAACAACAAAAAAAACATCATGTACAACTGGGATTCATACCGGCATGCAATGATGGTTCAATATTAGAAAAACATAATCCACCACATAAATAACATGAAGAACCACATGGGTATTATCAATTGATGCATAAAAAGCATTTGACAAATTCCAAAGGAGTCCTGGAGTGGCACTGTAGGATAAGCACTAGACCACAAGGTCACAGGATCAGTGTAAACTGCAAAGTTGGTGGTTCAACCTAACAGGTCACTAACAGGACCCTATGTAGGGTCCCTTTGACTCAGAACTGACTTGATGGCATTTAATGACCATTTTTGATAAAAGTACCCAATAAAACAGGAGTAGAAGGGAAACACCTCAACATAATTAAGGATATATATATACAAAACCTCTCTTTGATATCTCAAACAAGCAAAGTTTTGCTCAAGGTAATACAGAAATGGCTACAATCATACATTGACAGAGAACTTCCAGAGGTTCAAGCTGGATTCAGAAGAGGCCGTGGAACGAGAGATATCATT